CCAGATGCTGCATGTGCTTACAACCAAGAGCAGTTAAGAGCAGACACGTCGTTGTGCGCGGTGTTAAAAAGGCAGCCACTCCAATTCGAAGCCATGGTGTGAGTTCATTCATGCCTGGACCACCCGAACTGCTCGCTGACGCAGTTCAGCAGGTTATGAGCGCCCAACCGCTGCAGACTTCGCAGCTACTGAATGGTCGGCCCAATGATGCAGAGCAACATAGAGCTGACGAGTCCAGAACAACTGGAGATGTCCAGGGTGAGTCTGGAGTGGTGACAGATGTGGATAGGGACAAGTAGAGGCTGTGGATGGTGAGGATCTACAGTCGGGCTTGTGGATACAAGAAGCTGGGACTGAGCAGGTGACTACAGAGACTACAGCTGGAGCAGTGCAGGCATCGCCGATGATGGGAGCGACGACGACACTGGATCTAGGTAGGCGATCTGCAGCCGATCAAAGCGGACCGGCCACGCTAGCTGATGACACATCTGGAGAATTTGGAACGCCTAGAGCCATGGTCTCGCCAGGGGCTCCGAATCAGGCTGCATGGTTGAATGGTGTAGAGCCACCTAGGTGGCTGCAGAGATTGAGCACGTTTCTGAGTGTTCCCAGCCCGGGAGCTTATCATGCGGATGTGGCACCAAGTCCTTTGCCGGGGCCCTCGCCGCCATACACACCACCGCCTGGTGGGCGACCATTTCGGTTACGCTCACCTGTGAGGCCAAGGGCAATACCATCGGCGCCTACTCCACCTTCCTCGTCGAGTGTGCCGGCAGAAGCAATACAAGCAGAGGTACAAAGGCAGCTTGGTGGGATTATGGCTCAGTTACGTGATTATGGGGAAAAGAACAACAGATTACAGGCGGAACTGGACGATGCAAGGGAAAGACTGAGAATGACGAACAGCAGTGCCAGGTTCCGCAGCGAAGAAAATCTATCCCCTCCTCGATTACTAGGTGATCTTGCAGAAGGTCCTCTGGGTCCTGGAAGGTTAGAAGGCTTGATTCCTCTTCAAGGAGATCCCCATGAGCATCATCAAAGTGCCAGAGTTCCAGGGGGTATCGTCCTCTACCTACAAAGGCATGGGTTCCCCATTTTTCGATTCCACGCAGACAAGGGCGAGTTTTACAACCATCGACTACGTGGATGGCTACGTGATCAAGGGATTTATGGAACGTGGTCCGAGCCGGGTGTTCCACAGAGCAATGGACATGCCGAGTCAACAGTCAAGTGGGTGAAGGACTCTATTCGCACCTACCTTAAGAGCGCGTCCCTACCAACCAAGCTGTGGCCCACGGCGGCGGAAGCCGCATGTGCAATGCAGCGCTCACGAGTCCTGGGCTGGAAGAGCTACTTAGCAGCACCCTATGGCTCAGTTGTTCATCTGCGAAGAAAGCCATTCGATAAGTATGGGCCGCTAAAGCGGGAGCAGACCTTGGAGTCGAAATGGCATAGCGGACGTTATGTTGGTCTTAGTACGATACTTCAAAGGGGCCATCTGGTCTACATCCCGGAGGAGGGTGAAGAGAAGGAGAAGTTCTTCCACACGCTACATGTCCGACCTAACTTGGTGGATCCTGGGAGACCCGACGTTGAGCTGCAAGCAGACGAAGTGCCAAGGCCCAGACGTCGGGTGGTGGGAAAGAAGGATGCAGCGGAGGTGGAAATGAAAGCCTTGAAGAAGGTCCCGGAGGAGATGCGTGAAATGGCCACAACCGATGCCGAGCTTCTACTTCGTGACTGGGATTATGACCAGGCGTGTGCTTTGGTGAGGCGGTTGGCTGGGAACAAGTTCTTCGATGACAAGAAGTTTGGAGTATATCGCCATGGAGGAGCAGTGGGATGGCTAACCGGGATTCTGGAATACCCGGCATTGACAAAGTTACTGACAAGGATCATTGTTGAGGTGGTTCCAGATGCTTCCTTTACCTCAGTATTGGTGTCGTGCAATACTCCAAGGGGAATCCACAAGGATATCAACAATGATTACAACACGAAGAACTATGTAATTCCACTATGTGTTCCAAGTCGTGGCGGTGATCTGTGGGTAGAGCTTTGTGAGGGAGATGTTGTCCAAGGCCAGATAGAGCAGCGGTGCGCGAGTGGTAAGCACCTGTATGGACAACGTCGTTCTCTATGTCATGGAGACGGTCTAGAGTTCTGTCCAAGACGCTACCATGAAGTTATGAAATGGGAAGGAGATCGTGTAGTCATGATTGCATATACGCCAGACTGCCTGGGGAAGTTGTCCCAGGATGACATAAATGCCCTACATGAATATCACTTTCCAGTACCTCTTTCTCAGCTTCCCGAGTTCTATGGCGACCTGAAGACAGCGCGACCACATCCTATGATTAACTCGGTGCAGGATGACCGTATGGATGATCAAGCTGCTCTACTACATGACGGAGAAGGATGGACGATGTATCTGGACTTAGATCCTGGAATGGTCAAGATAGCAGATGACCTAGAGCCAGCTGTGGTTCCAAAACTTCAGAAGGCAGAAGTGGGTTACACCAGGAACATTGAGCAGGTTTTGGAGAAGCTCACTAGCCCGCTAGAAGTGGTTCACAACGTGAGTCCGGATGAAGTAATGTCCAATTTGGAAGCGTGGAGGGCGGCAATCGTCAAAGAGGTGAAGGGCATCGAGGTAGCAATTGAGCGACTTCTACCAGGGTCCGATGCAAGGAAGCAATGGGTGAATACACCTGGTGTTCAGAGACTTCCGATGAAGTTTGTCTTTACAGTGAAGCCGCATGATGGAGCAGTACAGGACGACAGGGCCACACGGTACAAAAGGAAGGCTCGTCTTGTGATTTGTGGAAACATGGCTAGGGCAGAAGATACGTCCTTATATGCAGAAACAGCTCCAGCAGAAGCAGTACGGACAGCCCTCACAATCGCCAGTCGTAATCATTGGCTCGTTGCTATACTTGATGTGGTGGCGGCGTTCTTGAAGACGCCACTGGGGCGTCAGTCCTCGGATCCAGTTGTGATTGCGCAGCCGCCCAGGCTCCTAGAAACGCTGGGGCTTGTGGAACGGTTTGAATTATGGGCCTTAGTGAGGGCTCTCTACGGACTTAGAGAGGCACCGAGGCTGTGGACTAACTATCGAGATGCCACAATGCAGACTATGCCAGCACCGCGAGGTTTGAAATGGAAGCAAGGTCGTGCTATCACTTCTTGGTGGACGCTGCGAGATCGAGATGGTGCAGTACAAGCCATAGTGGTGGTGTATGTGGACGATTTCCTTTTATGTGGACCTCGTGAGCTGGTGTTAGAACTTACGGCTATCATACAGGACGTTTGGGACACATCTGAGCTAACAGTGCTCGGGCCTACAACAGCGGTGCGTTTTCTTGGGATGGAGCTCCATCGTGAAACAGAGACAATGGATGAAATTACAATCCATCAACAAGGATTTATTCAGGAGCTGGTGAGGACGCATGGCATTAAGAGCAGCAGTGTGAGTCGCGTGCCAATCACCAAAGACCTGGCAACAATTCTGGACCAAGAGGAGGACATCAAGGAAGCAGCGATTAAGGACGCACAACAACTTACAGGTGAAGTGTTGTGGGTGGCGCAGCGTACAAGGCCAGACCTGGCTTATACAACATCAATGATGGCGAGTATGTGTACCCGAGTCCCGTCCCAAGCAATACAAACTGGGATTAAGGCGATTGGCTATCTCCTCAAGACCATCCACTATGGCCTGAAGGTGCGTTGGTTAGACACAGGGCTTGTGATGTACTGTGATGCGGCCTATGCACCACAGGGTGGAAGATCGCATGGAGGATGGGTCGTAACGTATGGGGGAGTTCCAATCGTTTGGAGAAGTGGGAGACAGCAGATGATCACGTTGTCGACAGCAGAAGCTGAGTTGCTTTCCATGATAGATGGCGCTATCGCCATGAAGGGGGTGGAAGCTCTCTTACTGGACATCGGCGAGGTGGTGGAAGGTAAAGAAATTGCCTCAGACAGCATGGCAGCTCTGAGTATATCCTCGGGATCCAGCTCGTGGAGAACGCGACACCTAAGGATAAAGGCAGGATGGCTACAAGAACAAATCAGCCACGGGCTGATGACAGCGCGACACTGTCCGGGAGAAGTACAACCAGCAGATCTCCTCACTAAGGCTCTCAGCTACGCTCGGATGACATCACTGTTGTCTTTGTGGGGAGTTGGAGGTGATGATCGAGGTCCTGCTCCTGCAGTTGCCGTGACTAATGGTATTTCTAAGATGACAGTCGCTTTGGTGTGCTGCTTGTTGATTGTGTCCGCGCAAGCTACAGAGGAGGCTAGCTCGTCAACTACGCGAGGATCGGGGATTCAAGTTGATGGTGACCTGGTCGGAATGCTGATGCTGGTTCTTATGGGACTGGGAGCTTTACTGGTCTGGGAAGCGCTAAAGTGGCTTGGTGACGAAATCTACCACGAGTACACGCCCGGTGCAAGTCAGAGAAAGCTGAAGAAGCTACGAAAGTTGCAAGCGGCTACGACAGAGGCCATTGAGAGAGAGCTTGAGAGGATCAGTGCACAGAGCGAGGAGGCAGCAGCTCAAGGCGAGCAGCCGACGTCGACCACGAGAGCAACGTCTTCCTCTACACCGTCAGCGACATTGCGTCTACGGGCTACCTCGCGACCAGAGGATAGGGAGTCAAGACGTGTCGGTGAGCCGGCCAGCAGTGATGGGGACCAGCTTTTCCAGAGCACGCCGTGGACTGCGGAGCCTACGTTAACGCCGACACCTACTCCTACACCTACAAGGGAAATTCCGCGGACTCCAAGCCCGAGGACACAGTCAGCAAGGCCTGTCCAGGAAATGACACAGTCAGGAAGAAGCTCAGTGGTTCTTTGGGATGAACTGGTGCGGGTAAGCGAGGACGTATGTAAACTAATGACCTGCGAGTGTCTAAAGGAAGGACTTCGCTCAGAGGGCTTACCTGTGTCAGGGCTAAAGGATGATCAAGTTCATCGTCTTGGTGGTCGTCTTGCTGAACTAGCGAGAAGCGATGATGGACCAACAATAAAGCAGCTACGTTATGTACTGTGGCTGTGGCGAGAAAAAGACATGACAGGGAGGCATGCTCTGCACTACTACGAGGTCTGCAACCGAGTTCGAGTGTCTTCTTTCATAGCTCAGTGGTCGAGGCGCTGATCAGACAGTGTCTAGCGACAAGTCTGAGGAGGAGTGCTGATATTCCACCTCGCTGCTGAG